TGTGCGGGGCCACTCACGGAGATGAGAGATAGGAGAGGGGTCCTGGGCAGGGGATTTGGGTGACTTGGATGGGAGGGGTGCCCAAGGGAGGACTTGGGGGAGGCCCAAGCCCCTGACTCCTGCTCTTGTGTGGCTGGTAGTGCCATTTCCAGAACCAGCGACCGGGGCCATGGGGCAGATTTGGAGAGAATGCTGGAGATTCAGTCTTGGCAGCCCAGGGGCCGGGGCCCTCAGGGGCATCTGCCTAGTTCACATTGCCCCTGGTTTATGCCCCTGACCTGTGGGCTCAGGCTCTGCATTTGGAGGTGCTGGTGCATGGTTGGTTTGGGGGTTAGGCAGTCGGCAGTTAGCTGCACTTAATGTTTTTTCCAGACCTGTAACCCCCAAGCAAGGCCCCCTAATGAAATGGTCTCTTTCTGATAGATTTTTCATCATAAGAGAATTTTAACATAAAAGCAATGTTAATAAAAACCAAATGTTAGCTCCAGCCTTCCAGTAAATCATGATAGATTAGATGCTGCACCGAAATGAATATCCACAGTGGAAAGGGTTGACCGGCTGGAGGAAGGCGCTTGTTGTGATTCAATTGGGCCACGTAATGAATCCTGCTTCATATCTATAGTAGCAAATGCCCGAGGGAGGGGGGTTCTGCAGCCTTTGTATTTGTAAAGGCTCCCCACCCCTCCCCACCCTTTTACCTCTGCCCCCCATTCACCATTGTTTACCCAGAGTACCATAGGCTTTTTGTATTTTGTTTTGCCTTTGTTTTTTCTTTTTGCTGAGAAGTTACTGGAACACGGATAAGAGGTATGGGAAAGGTTGAAAGGTAATAGGATAAAGGGAGCTTTCACTTTGCAGGGAGCCGGCAAGACGCTTTGGATCGGACTGACACTTAATCAGGACTGGAAGTACACTGGCAATCAGCCCAACATCTGGCTAGCTTTCGAAATAGTTGGTCTGTAGTTTTCCAGAGGGGCAGGCTTGCGCGGCTACAGCCAAAGAGAACCATGTGGTCAGAAGACATTCTTCCGAGCCTCATTTACCTGGTGCTTGTGGTCTCTTTATCCAGGTTGGCCTGTCCACTTCTTTTTATGTAGCTTTGGTCAAGGCCTTTGCCAGCCGTTTCAGAATAGGGGTTCCCATTCAGGAGGAAAAATCCAGAAATCAGTACTTGGAGGGGAAGTTCAGTAACTGGTTCCTGACACCACGGGGCCACACCCTTCCCTTCTATTTTGGAGTCGGTGAATTAGATGGAAGCTTCAGCCCCACCCCACCCCTGCCCTGTGGTGGTTGGGTGGACTCCAGGGGGCTAGGGACACCCTTCCTGACTCACTGGGCAGGCCGGCTCTGACCGGGCAGGAGGGGGGCGCGGCTCGCGCAGCTCCTCCTGGGCCATGTGAAGTGCATCTGGGCTTCCTCGGAATTCGTGTCAGTTGGCACTTAGGGTTGAAGTAACTATTTCAGACAGAACAATATATTATCCTGAGTGTTTATTTCATCCAGAGCGAAATGGCGAGCAAAGAAATGCAGTCGGGGTGGAGCAACACCTGCCCTTCCTGAGGAAACCTGAGTGTGTGTGCGCGCCGCGCGCACATGTGGGGATGGGCGCCTCTGCCCATCCGCCCCTCACGCATGCGCACGTGCTGTTTTAGCGCCCACAAGCGTAGCTTCAGGTCACGCATTTACCTTGGTCATTCACCATCGTCAGCCACCATTTTGTCCATTTTGTTTGGAGCCAGAGAGGTGCCTGCAGCTTTTGAATGGCTGCTCCAGCCTTGAAAGCTGAGGGGGCTTTTGGAGGCGACGTGGGGGAGAGAGAGATGGAAGGGAAATGGAGCACCTGACCCAGAAGGAACTTTGGGGGAAAGAACGGGGATATCTGAGGGTTTTTTCCTGAGCAGAGTTTTGCAAGTGTTTGCAGTGGAGCCTGCTATCTCCCTGGCTGGAGACTGTTGCAATACCGGGACTATTTGCTGGAAGCCGGGTGATCACCATGAGGGCTGGGAAGTTGGAAACTGCTCTAGTCAGCCCCCCATGCCACGTGCTGTCAGAGCTGCCCTCCAGGGATCCTGGAGTCCGAGCCGCCTGTCCCTAACACCCACCCCCAAGGTGCACCTGTCTGCTCCTCCCGAAGCCCCAGCCTCCCGGTTTACCAGCCCCTGGCCTGGCCTGGTGTATCCTGTGCCCAGTGCAGTTCTCGGCCAGCTCCTGCCCCTCCCCTCCCTGTCCTGCCCGACAGCTGCGCCCTGAGAGTCCCCACAGCTACGTGGCTTGTCCCGGCTTTCCGAGGTAGCTAGTTTGCTGTTGTTAAGTTGTTCTTCCCTTGCTCTCTCCTTTCTTCCCTTTTAACACACAAACCACGTGGCAGTGTTAAGCCATGCCAGAGTAGAATCCCCTTCAGCACAGAGTGGTGACAGGCATGGCTGTGGCATCGTGTCTGCAGCTGCTTTTCACTCAGCCCTAAGCACACGCTGGGCGGGAAGGGCGCTCTGCCCAGGTGAGGAGACGGGCCCCAAGAGGTTAAGTGTCAAAAGCAAGCACCTCCCACACCTGCAGCTCCTCTCCGCCCTCCACCCTAGCGCAGAAGGTGCCCTGGGAGAGGGGCCCACAGGTGGGAGGAGGCCACAGAGGTGCTGGCCTCTTGGAGGCAGGCCCTGCACACCGCTTGCCCTGCTGGTCTCCCTGAGGTGGTCGGGCCTTCTCTCGGGCCCCTCCCCCTTCGGAGGCCTCCCCTTTCCAGCCATGTCTTCAGCCGTTGTCTGTGGCCTCAGGGACGTGACTTGACATCTCTGGGCCTTGACTTCCTCACCAAAGCACGAGGCTGCACCAGAACCTGGCTCTGAGAGGTTCTTAAAGGGTTTCAGCCCCTCCCCCTTGCTCCACATGCCAGCAAGCCTGCCGCTGAGGAAGGTCAGCGTAACCTTGGAGTGTTTCCCGTTAAGAAGATATTGCCACAGATTCCCTCATTTTTTGATAAATTCTAAGGGGAGTGAGGGGAAAATTAGAGGAAGGAGACCAGATGGAGCCTGCCGTGGAAGTTCAGGAACTGGCCAGCATCCGTCTTTCCCCGTGTCCTGCTGGATCCCGCTGCAGGCCCCTGCTGTTGTCGTCTTTGAAGTGGGGTGATTGATGGTCGTGCCATAAAGTTGGGGGGGGGGGACACAGGGTAGACCTAGGGAGCTTTCTTTTTCCCTCAGACCCACTGACTGACAGTTTCCAAGAGACCAGAAGTGAACGAATAGAGATGTCAGGACAGCATTGACATCCCTGAAAAAAAAAAAAAATGCCAGAAAGATTCAGTTGGTGTTCTTCTTGCCATCTGATAAGCCAGAATGCTTCAGAGTTAGACATTTAGCATCAAAGTGGGACATAGAATCCACAAATTAAATTTTCATTGCAATCAAATTTTTGACAAAGCCACATTGCTGGGATGCATGAGGGGAGTGACCCCGTGCGAGGCCCCAGTCGTCCCTCACCCGTGTCATCTCCTTGGCATGACTTCGCCTCTGGCTGGGAGCTGGAAGGGATTCAGTCAGGCAAGATGTATTGTTTCAGTTGGTTCCGTCAGCGCGTGTGTGCAGGCGGGAGTACTCGGCCTCAGACCATCGTTCTTCAGCACTCCCCTCTGTTTTGTCAAGGTTCTAGATGAAGCACCATATCCTACTCCAGGCACCGTATTTCAGGAGTTCCGAGAAGCACCACTTCCCCCCTTGCAGAGTGACAGGAAAGGACGTGCCTCCAGCGCTAACTCTGCTCAGCTGTCAGCTCACAGTGAGCAAAATGTTCATTTCTGCGAGTGTGTCTTCCAGAACCAGGTCGGAGGGAAGACAGGGGCTTGGCCCAGCCTGGCTGTTGACGCAGGCCCGCAGGTCGCTGGCCCTGGTCGCAGGCTGCAGCTCCTGGCACAGCTCCCTACCCTCTCCCTCCATCTCTTCCTCTTATCTTGTCTTCTAAAAGCTGGCTGCTGCTGCATTTCACTAGAGAAAAAGCTTCCTTTGCCTCTTAAAGGTGGATCTCCCTCGGTTTCAATGTTGGCGTCTGTTTGTGTGTGTGTGTGTGTGTGTGTGTGTGTAAGATTTAGTTATTTGTGCATACAAGAACTGGGGTGTGGGCCAGAGGTGGTGGGGGGTGAGAGGATTCACCAGAGTGGGGAGCAGAACAGGCAGATCGACCAAAATACACTGCTGAGGGGAGCAGCAGGGAGGCAGGAGAGGTCTGCTGTGCCCTGTGGGTCACCTTTCTGGCCGGGGATCGAACTCGTGCTGCAGTGGCTGCGGACAGCTTCCGAGTGTTGTGCTTTAACCCATGGCGCTACTAGGAAGGGCCCTGTTGGCACCTTTTTAAAATAAAGCTTTGGCTTGAGTCCCTGCTCTGGCCACCTCACCTGGCACACCTGCTGCCTCCCTTGCACCCCGTGTTGCGTGAAGGGGGCCCTGCCCTGAGCTTGGTGCTAAGAACTCGAAGTGTGACTTGTACATGGCGGGAGTTTCTGCCTGCTCCGCTTCTCCAGTTCCGTGGCCCCCAGCCTGTGGAAGGTGGCCAGAGTCTGCTACGGTGTGGCCTCCAGGGGCTCGCGGGTCTGGAACACGACGCTGCCCCTTTCCGTCCCACGTGTGCCTCCTCTGACCAAGGCCAGGCGTATGTCATCGCAGGAGTGTGTCTTCAGTGCCCTTTACGGTGCCCACAGTCTCTCTTTTTAACAGACGGAGCAGACCCGGGCCCCAGTGAGGAGCCCGGCGGCATCTGGCTGAAGTCGGGTTCCTTTCTTCCTAGTCACTGACTCCCCACACGCGAGTGGTGACAGCCAGCACGTGCGGACATGCTCCTCTTAGTTCCCTTTACAGGGACTCTAAAGTGAGTGACCGCATGGGCAGCAGCCAGTTGTGGAGAATCCTGAAGGGCCGTGCTGGCCCTGGTTGAGGAGCTGCTGGGGGGCCCGCGCGAGCAGCTGGGCCTCCTTGCGGCAGCTCTGCTGACAGCTTGCCCGCTCTCCGTTCTAGGCATGGATCCCGAGAAGCTGGAGCGAATCCAGCTCCCAGTGCCGGGTGCGGCCGAGAAGACCACCTACAACCACCTGCTGGCCGAAAGGCTCATCAGGATCATGAATAATGCAGCCCAGCCAGGTGTGGGGGCGTGGGCTGTGCAGGAGGGTGGTGGGGTGGGAGGCCAGGCCCGTACCTGTGCCCTTTCCTCTCCTTCCGTGCTCAGCCTGCTCTTGTCAGTGTCTGCAGCCGCCTCTGTAGGGCCCGAGGGCATGTCTGAGCATGACCCAGGCTGAGCTTGCGAGCCAGGGCGCCCTCCCTAAGGCAGCATGCACCTAGTGCCGGGCACTGGTCAGCCTGCTCTGCGGTTCTCGCCAGCACCCACCTGCAGCCGCGGAAAAGCAGCAGTAACTTCAGCCCACAGGAGACGCTGGCAGTGTCCAGAGAGGTTTTAGATCAGCACCTCTGGGGGAGGAAGCTACTCCTGGCACCTAGTGGGAAGGACAGCCTGCAGTGGACAGGAAAGCCCCCAACAGCGAATGATTATCTGGTCTAAAGTGTCAACAGTGCCGAGGCCGAGAAAACCTGACTTCGGGGCAAGTTGGGTGCAGGCAAGGGCGAGGCCGCAGGATGTGCATGGGTGCACAGGGCAGGCCCCGGTGAGATGCACCAGTAGCGAAAACAGCTGAGCTGCCCAGTCCGGAATCCCGGTCAGGCTGGAGAGAAGGGCAGATAGACAAGGCTGCAGAGGTCCAGGGCAGTGGGCTCCACGTGGTGGTGCCGTGTGGCTGCGGGGGAGTGGGTGGGGCTGGGTTGCTGGCCTGGGCTTCTAGGGCATCCACAGCATCGGTCTGCTGCCCACTGGTTGCCGCGTGCCTCCGGGTGCCAGTCACTTTGTGCAAGGCGTGAGGGTGTGGGAAGTGCAGGACAGGCATGGCTGGTGCCCTCTAGACTCCGGGGAAGCAAAAGTGGGGCTCCTGTGTAGAGACAGCACCTGGAGTGCAGAGGCCACAGGCCAGACAGGCTGTGGGCCTCGGGTTGAGCGGACTTCAAAGCCCCAGGCAGGTGAGAAGTGAGGATGTCTGGGAATGAGCCCGGGGCCTGTCACATGTCCAGAGGTGAGCCAGGCTCCGCGTGGGGAAGGAGAGGGGTGGGGCGTGTCTCAGGCAGCAAGAGAAACATTTGTGGCTCAGAACCAAAGGGTGACCGCAGTTGAGGTCTAGTCCAAGGAGGTGGATCATGTCCCTGACGATGGCGGCCAAACGTGGGTGGCAAGGGGTCTGTGAGCTGGTTGTGGTGCTGTGGGCAGGGAGGGTGGCTCGTGGCCTGGAGCTGGGGAAAGGGTGGAGGAAAGGTGGTGGGCCCTCAAGGATTGGTGTTCAGAATAGCCTGGCTTTCTGGAGAGGTTGAGGAACTCAGGAATAGTCTGGAAGCTGTGGTAAAGACTGAGGGGCTTGCTGGTTTCTGGTCCCTCAAGATATGGGGAGGAAGAGCCTGCTAGTGGCAGGAGCTTGTGGAAGAAACAGGAGTTGGTGGGAAGCCGCATTCCACTTGCGTGGAGGCAGCATCAGTGAGACCGGCCGTGGGCTCGCAGGCGGGGGCAGATGTGAGTCTGTGCCCCTGAGACCGCTGAACGCGAAGGAGGCGTGTGGCTGGCACAGCTGGGTACCACATGCAAGTTGTGGGCGCTGGGATGGGTGGGAAAGGGGGAGAGGTTGAAGGGCGAGCAGCAGGAGTGGGGTGAGTTCGGCGAGGCTGACCCTGGGGTGCTCTGCAGACGGGAAGATCCGGTTGGCGACGCTGGAGCTCAGCTGCCTGCTCCTGAAGCAACAGGTGGTGACCAAGGGCTGCATCATCAAGGACGTGCACCTGGCCTGCCTGGAGGTGAGGGCCTTCTCCCTGCCGCCGCCTGCTTGCGCAGGGGGAGCAGACGGGCGCCGGAGGTCCCTGAGGTCGACCTGAGAAGACGTTGGGCCCCACCTGACACCCCCTCAGGCCACTTGCTCCCACTGCGACTGCTTGATGAGTCCTAGTAATTATTCAGTTGCAGTTTCTGACCTACTTATTTGACTCTGTATGGGTCCCTAGTAGTTCTCATTTTAATTTTTTAGTTACAAAACTATCATGCGTGCACTAACACATATACTTACTTATAGGTCGTTGTGCTAATATGTCCATGATTTTCAGTGTCTTCTCTTTTCATGCTCCTATGTCCGCTATTCACCGTAGGAAGATTAGGAGGCGGAAAGTAACAGCTCAGCTTTGTAGCCACAGACACCCTGTTTAGGAGTGAGAAGGGCCCAGCTCCCCCTCACGCCACGCCTTGGGACCTCCCTGCGTCACGCTGACCCACCTGTCCCGCGCCCATGTCTACCCTGAGCCCTTCCTGCCCGCCCCCACTTCTCCCCTTGTTCAGACCACTGTACACACGAAGGACACACGCCCGTCATCCACGTCGTGTTAGAACTCACCGTTTACCTGACTCCCGGCTCCCCCCTCACACCGCCCCTCTCTCTCCACAGGGCGCGAGAGAAGAAAGTGTCCACCTCGTCCGGCACTTCTACAAGGTAAATGGCCACGGCAGGGGAGCAGCAGTGCATGCGGAAACAGGAGAGTCTGTGCTGGCCGAGTGGGAGGGCCGGGCCCCCGCCAGCACCGTGGCCGCTCGCGTGCTCGTGCCTTCTCGTCAGACGGCGCCTGCAGCCTCCCGCCGCGGTGTGACCGTCAGTTACACGGGAATTTGTCTGAGGCTAAATTTGTATGGAAATGAGTGCTTGCATAACACGTGCCAACCAGGAGGCGCGAACTTACAGCCGAGCGCTGTGCTCATCCGGATCTACCTCAGCGGTGACGTGCGCATGTGCTGTGTGTGTGCACAGGAGCCGCATGTGGGCGTCAGAAAGACCCTCACGTTGAGTGGGATCATGTTACGTTCCTCCGCGACGCCCAGTATCTGAACACGTGTAGGGATTTGTCTTCGGGTTCAGATGCTTTGCTATAAAAGATCTAACACTTGTTTAGTGTTAATCTTAAGACATAATTGAGTCTCTGGCCAGCCCTTCATTTGTCAGTAATAGTGGATCAGGTCATGTCAAATAGTCCTAATCACATGCTGATTGTTTGGCCTCCACATCAGGTCTCTCCAGACCCGATGACGATGTTTTTCCCACTTGACGTGACCCATGGAGAGATCCTCCTCAGAGGAAGGCGTCAGTGCGCCACTCTGTCCCCTGCACATTCGCATGTGTCGTCTCTTTCAGCTGCTGTGAACTATATACAGACAAGCTCAGGGATCTTCCACTCTACAGGAAACTTTTTATGCCACTGGCCATTACCGTCAGTGTTTGTTGAGATAAAACCAGGTCATGCAGTTTGGAAATCAGCCTCACTAGGCTCAGCTGACCCCAGGCAGCCGCCTGGGCCCCCAGGCGGGGAGGGCACTGGGAAGCGAACCCCTGTCTCCCCTTGACCTGGCAGAGCTGTGCTTGGCCTCTCCGTGGGGATCCCCGACCTTTAGCAGAGCCCGGGAGAAAGCACAAGCCTCACAGTTGCTTTCATCACCTCTGGGGCTGTTCCCCACACAGGTGTTCAGTTATTCCCCACCTCGAATGTTCTAGATTGCAAACACAGAAAGGCAGATAGCTAGGCTTGTTCCTATAGGGCTTTTCTTCACCAACAAAAGGAAAGCTGTGTTTGAATTTCAGCTTCTTTCTTCCAACCTAGATTTTCCTCTTGCTTTTAGCCTGTAAAGTTTACACCCTAAGTGTAACATCCCCAAAGCTTCTGGATGTCTTCAGGGGTAGTTATTTCTGTGGAAGGTACTTACACTGTCCTCCTGACATTCAAGTCAGGAGCAACTGGAAGTGAGTATGGATGGCCTATCGCACCGCCCAGACTCGGCCTGTGCACGCCTCCCCGGACTCCTGAGAGCAGGAGGGGGTTCAGCCGAGTCTCCCCGGCCCAGCTGTGGTCCGGTCCCATCCACATGGGATCACAGCGGCAGTGAGTGCTGACAGGGACTGGCCCGACTGAGTGGCAGGCCCAGTGCTCAGGGCTTAACGCCCCAGCTCACCTCTCGCTCCTGGTGACCTGCGCAGTCCGTGCCCCAAACTTGCAGCAAAACAAGGAGCCGGCTCCAGGAGGCTTCAGTGGGCTGGGCTGCGATTTCCGTGTCTCAGAGCCAGGTTCCTACCTCTACCCTGTTCTGACAAGTGACCTCCTGGACAGAGTACAAAACCCCAAAGGCACGTCTCCAAGGCGAGAGGAACAAGCCGTGTAAGTCTGGCCTCAGGCATATTGAATGACACGCTTGGTGTCAGAGGTCCGGAGCCTCCTGGTTGAATGTGGCCGCGAAACCAGGGTTTCCCGTTTCTTTCACCATTCTCTGCAGAGATGTTGTTAAACACTTGAGTTCTTAGCCTTCTCTCTATTGTAAGTAGGCACGCTGTTGTTTTTGTTACTTGTTTTGATTAATCACGTTGACAGAGAAACCTAATCATGTGTGCCTCAAAAAGGGAGGAAGCCGTTGAGAGTGCAATTTGAGACCTGGCCTCTGGTCGGGGCGTGTGTTTGCGTTCACGCGTGCACTTTACTTCCTGGTGATTTACGAGAACTCGCTAATGAGGAACAGATGGCCCCAAAGCCCAAACTGCAGTTTAGAGGGCTTTGTTGTTTATGGAAAAAAGATAGGCATCATCTTCTCTTCCCTCACGCCTTTGCATTTTTTAGGGAGAAGAGATTTTCCTGGACATGTTTGAAGACGAGTACAGGAGCATGACAGTAAGTGAGGGCCAGAGTGTTCCTGGGTGTCAGCGAGCTTGCCCTGCGAACCCAGAGACCCCTGTCATGGGCTCTCCGACTGAAGAGCAGAGATTGGTCCCCCTCACCTCCAGAATCTCAGAGGATGCCTCTCCCTCTGCTGGGCTGTGCCACACGGGGGTTGGGAAATGCGTGTGGTGTGTCTTAGCGCTCCTGACCCCCCACGTCAGCCACTGGAGTCGCCGTGGTCAGTGTCCTCCTTTGACCCAGAGGATGCGAGTGTCAGGAAGGTTGGTGGGGCAGGGCCATCATGGGCACAGCAGCTGGGGAGCAGAGCAGAGTCCCGAACAGCACAGCCCCCAGCCCTGCCTCCTCCTAAGTGTTTAAAGTTTCGGAAAGAGATAGGCAGGCAGCGTGTGCTGAGGGCTTCCCTGGCCACTGAGCCCGTCCCCAGGTACCTGGACAGCTGGGCCCTCGCCGCGCCCACCCTCACAGCACATGGAGCCTCTGCACAGGCAAAGCAGAGGTTAGCAGAAGTTCCCTCCAGCAATGCTCTGGAAGCCCCAGGACTCCTTGGCTGTGTGGGGTGTTCGCCCCACCTCTGCAGATGGCCACAACCCCGTCTCCCCCGGCCCCTGGAGGAGCGTGTCTTCTGCCCTTGGAGCCATCAGTCAGAGCAGTTGGATTCACGCTTCCTTGCACACGCATTCTCCTGTCAGGCTCCGAGTCACTTGATGTAGAGAAGCTGAGGCTCCTAAACCCTGGCTCACTTTCTGCTGGCGTTACCTGCCAGCTGGCAGCCTTGCATGGCTCACTGGCATTCTGAGTCTAGATTTCCCATCTGTAAAATGGGGCCTGCTCCCCATTGCTTTCCTGGCCGGCTGTGTAGTCCCCGAGGTACCCTAGTCACTCACATGTTTGTTGTGTGTCCTTCGCAACGCCTGGCTTTCTAGACGATGCCTGCCCACCACCCCATCTGCCAACATGAGTCTTTAGCTCACCAGGGAATGAGTCACTGAGCTAAATGAAGTGAGGACAGGCCCTTGGTGCTGCTAAAACGCTAGTGGCGTTCCCACACTCGAACCAGGCCTTGACTCTTGTTCCTTCACTCATTTCTCTTGTCACTGCTTATTTAGCGCAGAAGCCACAATGAACCTGACCCCTGGCTTCCTGTGCCCACAGCAGGCTAGAAAGGTCTTCCTGGGAAAGCTGTTAAGCCTCAGGGCAGAGTGGTGAGAAGCTGCCTGGGAGTGAAAGGCACGCTGGGAAGGTCCACCTGCTGGCCGGAGCCTGGGGCTCAGGCCTCTGCACGTAGCTCTGGGGTAAAGGGCTTGTATGGGCCCTCGGGCCTTGGAGGAGAGTGCTTAAGGGGTCTAGCAGGAAGGCAGGCGCTGGGCTCCCTAGCCTGTTCTCCAGTATCTGGGTGCTCGGCTCTTGGTATAACTTGGCCCGTTCAGCTTTATCTTAGAGTGGAAAAGTGTGATGATTGGAACCCTTTCTCACAAAAGAAGGACTCCTCCCCCCACCAAAAAAAAAAAAAAGCTTTGGTGCTTGAAGGAGTAAAATTCTCTAGAAAATGTCTGTGTGAAATGTCACACCTTTGTGATACCATGTGAATGAAGTGTCAGCTCCAAACTACACTTGAAATGTCAGTCCCCACCCAGCGAGTTCCAGGTGGGAGGTGACTTCCCGTGAGTAACCACTTCGTGGTGGGACTGTGTGGAAGGTGGCAGACAGCCTGGCTGTCTGCCCTGGATGCATGAGCTTCCTCTGGCTCATGTCCCTTGGTGGTGCTGGTCAGCACCAGCAGCTGCCATATCGCGGAAGCTGAACCCTGCTCCATCCTCCCGGGGGAGATGTGAGGCCGGTGAGGGTGTGACAAAAACATGTGCAGTCCAGAGCAAGGCAGGCCTGGGTTCGCCTGTCACCATGCAGTGGGTGGGCCCAGCCTCCCACTTGGCTTCTCCAGCCCCCCAGGTCTCACTAGCAATTAGGAACTAATCCTCTAGGAAACCACACTCAAAGAAGTGCTTAAAAAACCCAAAGACTGTGGCCAGGTTGCTGTTACCAGGGACACAGAAGCAGACTACCCCAAAAGGAATCAGGCTACTTGTGAAACCCTCCCCTCTGCCCCCCACTAGTGTGGTAAGGACTGAGGGAGTAAGAAAGCAAAAGTTTTCACAGGAAGGATACAGCTTCTCAAGGGTGTCTGAGCAATGGCTTAAGTCAAAGTGAAATCTGGAAGTTGGAAAACAAAAGACATTCCACAGGCCTCTCCTCAGTCTCGTCAGGGATGTGCAGATGGAGGGGCCTCCCCCACCCCACGCCCAGTCAGGTTTCCTATGTCTCTCTCCTAGATGAAGCCCATGAATGTGGAGTATCTCATGATGGACGCCTCCATCCTGCTGCCCCCAACAGGCACGCCACTGACGGGCATTGACTTCGTGAAGCGGCTGCCCTGTGGCGACGTGGAGAAGACGCGAAGGGTGAGTGAGCGCCCTACCAGGCCTCTCCCTGGCAGAAGGGAGGGCTTCTGAGTCGGTCAGGGGCCCCTTCCTTCCACACAGCCTACCACCTCACCTGCCCCCTCCCCCCAAAGCCCTTGGTTAAATCAGAGATCGGAACCCCTGCAACAGGCCTGGCCTCAGACGTCACACGCAGGGCCCCACCCCTACCTTCTCACCCTGGGTGAGAGGAAGCTGGGCTGAGGCTTCTGTGAGGGTGCTGGGTGAGGCAGAGAATGCCCTGCAGGTGAGTGAGGCTGTGTGAAAGCCTGTGTGTCCAGACAGGCACAGGCCCGAGATGGTGTGATGTTAAGGTATCTGGGTGATCTGGGGCTAAGTTAGACGCAAACGAAATTGTGACTTGTGGCTCTGCCTGCCCAGAGAGGAAAGACCTATGTGAAGAGCAGATTAGTTCTCAGAACCCAGCTGAGTGTGCGCTTCCGTTATCAGCGCTTTTTTCTGGAGCACCTCACAGGCCTGCTCATGGTATTTTATCTCCCTTATATGATCACAGTTTCTTTCTTAGAAAGCGCCATGGCCTTTTCCTAGAAGATCATTCCCTGGAGACGTAAACACTGGCGGATAAACTAGAGGAATTCACAGCACAGGACCTGCCCTCGTCAGCCTGCACCCCTGAGCTAGTCCGGTGAAACCCGCATAGCAGAGGTGTTGCACTCTGGGATGTTGAGAAGCAGGAGTGACCTGCAGGGTCCACCCCCAGACAGGAAGATATTGTGGTCTTCTTTCACCCAACGAGAGATTTGGCCTCTGAGGCTTAGCAGGGGAGGTGTGGTAAGAGAAGTGGGGGCAGGGGGCGGGGGTTGGGGGTGGTGCAGCAAAGGAAGTCAGACCCCACATCTCAAGTCAGGCCAGATTCCCTGCCATGTCGCTAACCTGCAGCCCTCGCCAGGCCCTGCCCCTCTGAGCTAGCACCGCCTTTCTCGCTGCGCTTCAGTCAGGACCGAGGCCCCGCGGCTGGGCACACAGCGTGCTTGTGGGTGGCAGTGTTTATGCTGGGCAGTGTTGCCATTGGCCTCCTCTGGAAGACTGGTCATGACAAAGGCGTGCCGAGTCTCAGTGGCTCTTTTGTGAGCAGGCACGCTGCCCCAGGTCCAGCGCCCACACTCTGACTGGCCCACGGGCTGCTCCTCAGCCTGTTTGCAGGGAAGCTGCCCCCAGTGGGCCGCAGCCATGCACCCACCTGGGAGGCCCACCTTGGCCCCTGAACCGGAAGATCCAAAAGGCTGTGACCTTGAGAGCTGCTGTATGGGGTATATTCCACCTTTTTTGGTTCATAGTCCTTTGGGTTTTTTAGACCCCTCTTGGAGCCCACATTCTTAGTTTTTTAAAGGTCATCATTCATATCAATTCTTTGTAGAACTTTCCTTGGAATTCTACAGCCATCCTCACCATTGGCGCTATTACTATTCCCATGATACAGAGGAAGAAAGTGGGCGTTAAGGGCGAGAGCGTTGCTCAGGGTCACCCGGTTAGTGAGTAGCAGAGTCACGTTGAGCCCAGGTGACATGGCCTCCCGCGCCCGCTCTTAGCCGTCTGACTTCTGCCTCCACGGCTCCCTCCACGGAGCCTCTCAGCTCCACGTGGTGCTGGCCACCAAGGATGTGGAGGACACAGCCCTGTCCACGTGGAGCCTGCATCTAGAAGATGAGGACAAGAAGGCAGTGGGTCAGCCCATGTAGCTGGACATTTTCTAAAGGAACAGGGGGCTGGCCCCTCATCCTCCCTGGGGCAGGGGGGTGGCCCCTCAGCAAAGACTGGGGATGGGCTGAGGAACGGGAGCAAGGTGGCATGTCCTGCCCCCTTCAAGGAGGGGAGTGAGGCTGGAGGCTAGAGCGAGGGCAGCCTGTGGAAGAGGAGAAGGGACTGGCCAGTGATGCTGCAAGGCCTTGGAACGCAGCCAGGACCTTGACCGCTGCCCATCGGCCGGCTCCTGACGGCGTACCCACTGGCCCATGGCACGCCTCAGGAGAGAGTGGGAAAGTTGAGAGGTGGCTTCGGCTTGGTGGTGCCTCTCCTTCCAAGCCACTCTTCTTGTGGAGAGCAAGGCTTTGCAGGGCTGTGTGAGGGCTCAGTGAAAGGCCGGCGCGCTAGGCATGGGGCTATCCCTGAGGCTTCTGTTCTCCCTGCCCCTGACCTCTCATTAAGTTGCAGGTTCCCAGCGCTGCCCACATCCTCTGCCCCAGGTGAGATGCACACCCCCACCTGCTTGCTAACTGAAGCAAGACAAAGCCAAGCCCCTGGAACCTCTGGGCTTCCCCGGGGTCTCTTGTTTGACCCTTGCCTGTCTGATGAGTTTGGAAATGACTAACTTACGCCCATGGGTTCAGAGCCAGAGAGGGGGCAGAGTGGTGTGGAATAGGCAGTGTATCTCAAAGCAAAGCCACACACATTAGGAAAGCTTCCCTTTGTGAAGAATCGACTCCTGAAGGGGAATTTCCACCGCTCACCTCAAAACGTTTTCTATTGCAAGGCAGCTGTCTGGAATCTTCTGGAAGTTTAGCTCTTCAGCTCATTTCAATCAGAACACAGTAGTGTGCTTTGAGTTCGAACTAAAGGAAGTGTATGGTTTAGCAAGCAATTGAGGGCTTATGTGGTTTGTTTCAAGTTCTTTGCTTGTATTCAGAGAACATTCCATTTCATCCTTTTGGAGTCAACCCTTTTCTTCTTTTCCTCCACCAAATAGCCTTTTCTAACTTTTAGAAGGCTGATCCTTTTCAGAAATCCCACCCTTCGTCTTCCTTCAGGGCTTGTCAAAGAAGTTCAGACAACCCTTAGCTGTAAATCATTCCTGACTTGTAAGCTAGCCCTTGGGATTCCCACTGTGTGCCAAGCATGGTCTTGAGAGTGCGGAAGTGAGCCGACACTGTCCCTGCCTGCTGCTCATCAGGTGCATGAACACAATTTACTAGCAAGCAAGTGAATGACAAGTTTGATATCAGAGTGCAATAAAGGTTCTAAAAAAAAATGACACAACTTGGTCAGGGGGTGAGGGTGGCATCCCTTGCCATAGAATGATCTGGAAGAGCTGCTCTGTGACATCTAGCCTAAGACCTGAAGCGTGAGGAGCCAACCACACACAGACTCAAGGAGGTACTTTGCAGCGTGTGCGGGCGGTGCAAAGGCCCTGGGGTGCAAAAGAGCATGGTTGTTCAAGGAGCAGAGGGAGTGAAGGGGAGAGCAGGGCACAGGGCCTGAAGACCCAGGGAGGCGCCTGGCATTGGCTTCACATTTTCCCTCTGCATATTGTTTGTGACGCTTTAGTCTTCCTTTGACATATTTGTTAGGCATTTGTTGGTGCCAACCACTATGCAAGATGCAAGATTAGGCAGCAAGTACATAAACGATGAAACCAAGACAGCCAGAGTGCTTCTGAGCCATGCCAGCTGAGAAGCGAAGTCCATATTGAAATAAAGGTCACAGGAACACCTTGGGCCTGGTGAGAACAAGAAAAGCAGTTTCAAACTTGGGCTCAACCCTCTGGAGAGCAGTTGCACGAAACAGTTGAAAGAACACAGGCCCGTGAGTCAGGCCAACAAGGTGCAACCTCACTCCAGCCGTGTGAACTCCAGCAAGTTCTTCACCTCCCCGAACCTTGGGGCCCCGTGTGTCCTGCCTCTCCGCTCTTGCCCACGGTAGATGAGGGAGTGTAACGCGGGAGCCTAGCGCCTGCTGTGTAGCAGTGCTCCAGAGGCATCAGCTGAACAGCAGTGGAGCATTCTAGCATTTTAGGTGGGCCAGGAGTAGTCTTTAATGACCCATAGCTGCGAAAGCTCCTAAACGGAAGGATTGTATGGTGACTACCAAGCCGGAAGTTAATAGGTAGCCACCTTGGAATCCATTATGAAACCAGGGTGTCTGCATGAAGTTTTATTTGTCCTGGCTTTCTGTCTCCCTCACCCCTTGTGAAACCACAAGCAGTTTTTGTGTTTGTTGCTATTGACCTTGAGGAGATAGAATAGTTTGCTTTACTCTTTGGAGGTGTATTATGCATTAAAGAAAATAGAGTAACATCTCAAAGTTTTGAAAGGTGACGGAAAGAATTTCCCATGATTTCATCGCCCTGAACAAACAACACTTAGACTTAGACAGTTGTGTGTTTCCTCCCAGTCTTTGCAAACATCTTTTCATGGCTGCAGGAGAGAGCAGGGGGCCTTGCCTCCCTGCAGCCGCGACCTTCCTCCTTGGTAAAGCAGGAAGCTTCTCGGGCTATGCTCTACGGCATCAGTGAGGCTAATTTCTTACCGAGGCATGAAGGTGTATCTGGTGGCTTCTACCAGAATGTATTTAGGTCTTTTCCTGTGGGAAGGCATTTTGGTTGCTTCCAGTGTTACATTATTTTCTACTAAACTATAATGAGCAGCTTCACGAACACAGTGTTTTCTTTCTTTTGGCCTATTTCTTTAGGATAAGTTCCCAGAAGTGGAATTTCTGGTTCAAAGGGTATGAACATTTTTTGTGTGTGTGTGTGCCTCTCTACATAATGCCAAAATGCTTTCCCCTTGGGCTGCGCCCATTTTAAACTGCTTTGGCCTTTTAAAAAAGACTGACTTTCTTAGCCACTCCACAGCTACGGTGGGCGCTAACGCTGGTGACTGTCCCCTAAAATTCTCAGGGGCTGGCGGGGGTGGCCAGGGATGTGGGCATGATGACTGGCACTGAGTAGTGACCCAGGGCCCGTGCCAGTGGTGTGTGACCTGCACACTCATTCGGTGCCCTCTTGATCAGGGGAGGTGGGTGCCCATTTCCAGAGCGAAAGTCTGGGCTCAAGGAAGTCACGTGACTCGGAAGCCATGCTCTGACGGACTCATTCCCGGGGCCCCTGCTCCCAGCTGCCCTGAAGCAAACAGGAGAAGTCTCTTCTGCATGGGAGCATGGTGACCCGTCCCAAATCTGCTACTCTGTGGAAGCATCTGACAGAACAGTCACTCCTTTGCAGGGTGACTTGTGTGGCTACGTTTATTGAACAAAGAAAAAGTCTGAATAAAAGCGGAGTCCCAAGCCTTACGTCTTTTGAAGGCAAAGGCGTGTGTGGTGGGAAGGGCATGCGTCCGCAACCTGGTTACTAGCTGAGTCACCTTCGGCGGGCTGCTTGCCTCCCCGGGCTTTGGCTTTCCTGTCTGTAAACTGGGAGCCACGAAGGGCTATTAAACAGTGACACTGAGGAGCCCTGCCTGAACCTGACCGGCCAGTGAGATCAGAGGGTGGCTGCTGTTCAGGGGTGAGGCACGGATGTGACGGGCCTTTTCCCGGCACTTTCCTGCTGCAGGATTCTTGGCGTCGTGGAGGCCTCAGCTCGCCTGCCAGCCCCCTGCAGACACCCCTGGGAACCCGGCTTTCGGCCTGGTGGAGCACCGCCTTGGGGTTCTGACTTCGTGCTCACCAGTGCGGGCTTCTCGAATGCTCTTCCTGCTTTTTAGGGATTGGGACCGGAACCTGGACAAGGGTTATTTGGGATTTAATTTGTCTATTCTCTATTCTATTTTATTTTTATTGTTGTTACTTTTTACATTAGTAGAAATTCCTTCACGTTTTGCTTGTGGAGGAAAAGCAGATGTTTGCCAAACAGCCTTTGTTGGGAGCCACACTCCAGGCTCCTGTGCATCAGAGGGACAGACTGTAGACGCCACGCTCATGTCTGTTTTCCTGTCCCCAGCTTGACACTCCTCACCCCCACCCCCGAGGTCCTGCTCAGGGAGGAGAATGAAGCTCCCACTCAGCTTGGACCTGACTGGGTGGGGCTTGTTCTCTTTCCTTTGCGCCCACGGCCACACTGCCTGCCTGGAGAGCCTGTCCAGGTGACCGCCGCCTCGGGCTCCCTGCACTGGGCCAGCACAGGCACTTGACCCTCCTTGTGTGAGTGCTCAGGGGCCACACATGCTCCTGGGTTTAAACCCAGCTTGGTGCCCAGCAGCTCCAGCTCTCCCACCCCCTCCCCCTGCAATAGGGCACCGCAGTGCCTGGCACGCAGGGGCCTTAATACATAAAGTTGTTTTTTATATTTTCAGTGAAACGACACTGTTTTTCCTTCTGATCACTTCAGATACATTTATGAAAACTGTATTTGAAAATGTGAAGAACAAGTCAGCTCAGATACTAATGCCTACCCCACCCCCGCCCTCGTCAGCATCATGATTTCAAAACATCTTTCTCTGGTGCTTTCGGTTTACAGAGGGGAATGAGAGTGCTCAGGATAGGTCTGCGTGGTAGGGTCGTTCTTCTCACTGTCTCTCAGGAGATGAAGTAATGGCCCTCGGCCTCCAGGGTTCCGACACGGCGGCATCCCCGCCGCCTGGCCCGGGAGCCAGTGCAGCCCCCCCCCCGCTGTGCCAGTGCCAGTTGCCCGGAGTAAGAGTGTTCTCTGTGGGGCTGCCTCCCCCTTAGGGCCCCAGGCCGAGAGCCCGCTGAACTGGAAACAGGGAGGCCCAGATGTGGGCTGGGAGTCATCTCTGCGGCTCACCAGCGGAGACAGGGTTTGTCCCAGTGAGGGGTGGCTGCCGGAGGGAGGGAGGGAGGGCTGGCGCGCCCCTGCCGGCAGCGTCATGGTCCCCCGCAGCCTGTGAGGGAGGGGCCGCTTTGCCTTTGACAGCTGAGCAGAGCAGGTCATGGGGCGGTTGGGGTTGGCCAGGCCTGGCTGAGCTGGGAGCCTGACCAGCCGCCCGCGTCTGACCCCTCAGGCAGGCCCTTCAGCTCAAGTCAGAGGACAGGCCCTAGCTTCCTGGCCTCTGTTTGGGGGCTGCCAGCCCCAGCCCAGGGCCCCAGGGAAGGTGCCCTCAGGGCCAGCCCGCCCCAGGATGAAGGCTGCTTCCTGCAAAAACTCTTTCTCTGGCGCCTGGGATTCTGCTTTCCTCCTGCTTACTACCTGACTGACCGACGGGTGGTGGACTCTGCCTAGACCCTTGCCCCGGCTCAACGGAATGTGCCGACGGAGTTGGCGGGGGAAGCCTGAGGGGCACGCAGGACACCTATGTCATCTTCCAAGTGCCAGGACACAGCCCCACTGCAGGCCCTAAGGGGTGGAGGCTCTGAGGAGAAGGGACCCACCCAGGGGCGTCCAGGGCAGTTGTGAGAGAGATTGGCAGCTCAGAACCCCCAGCATGTGGCCGTCCCTCTGCCCCGGAGGTGGGCTGTGGACACACCTGTAGTCGTGACTCGGACTCCCGAGTTCAGTGCCAGTTTAGCCGGGAGAGGCCCGGGGCTAGTGACCGGGTGGCTGGGACTTGGTCTCAAGGCGCCGCCTACAACTTGGGGCAGACAGGGGTGTCCTGACACTCGGGAAGAGGGGCTCACAAGTGGACAGGTGCTCAGGGGAGGTGAAGTAACCCCGCCTGAATACTGGGTATCTGCACCCCTTTGGGCTTTGGGTGCTCTGAAAGCACCAGAACCACAATTCTGGGAAAGGTGGGCTTTGTTTCAAGAGTCACTGCGAGGTTCCTGGACTCGGACATGACTGCTTGCCCCCTCTGCTCTGCCCTCGCATCGGTCCAGGCCATCCGGGTGTTCTTCATGCTGCGGTCCCTGTCTCTGCAACTGCGAGGGGAGCCCGAGACCCAGTTGCCACTGACGCGGGAGGAGGACCTGATCAAAACGGACGACGTCCTAGACCTGAGTGAGTCGGCCCTCTGGGTCCCGCAGCCCACGGGGTGGGGGCACCCACCCGCTCGCTCACTGGAGGCTCAGTGTGTGAACTGCGTTTTGTGCGGTGGCTGAGACCTTGCACCTCCCACAAAGCTTTCAGAGAGGGGACCCCCGATTCTGGGCCCCACAGTCTGCTGAGGACTCTGCTTTCTGAGCAGGCAGAGCTGCACCGGGCACTGCCAGCTCTGTGCACGGTGACTGGGGTCTCCTGCATCACGGGCACCCTCCGGGGTCCGTGCTCCCCATCAAGGCAGCACCAGTTTGATTGGTTTTGTGCATGAAGATGTTTCTGTGTGATTCTGATGATTAAAACATGTTGCTGCTGCTTTAAAAAAAAAAAAAAAAAGAAGGAGAAAGCTTTTAAAGGTGCAAAGCTCCAGTGTGTAGGTTAAGATAAAAGTTCAGAGACGGAGAACTGTGTGCTCAAGCTGTAACTGGGGCTCACTAACCCCACCCCGCCTCTGCGCCGTATTCTGCACCAGGAGAGAACAGGGCAAAGCCGCTCGTGTTTCTGGAGCCCTTCTCCCATGGGGCTGTGTGGCTTGGGTGACCTCCCTCCTCCTTTCGCAGCGGGCTCACGCACACAGGGCAAGAGGATTTCCGTCCCTTGAAGGCATTGTGGTATATTTCGATTCTTTGGTAATAAGAGACAGAAAACCCATTTGGCCTGGGAAAAGCAAAGGGAAATGGCTCCTATCACTGGAAAGCCCAGGAGTACTTCAGCTTTCAGGAAAGGCTGGATCCTGGCCTTTAAGCACCCGCCAGAAAGCTGCCCTTCTCTGCACTGAGGCTGCCCCGCTCCAGCCTGTCCTGCAGGCTCTCACCAGGTGTGGTGGCCATAGCTCTCAGCGCCTTTGTCTTTCGGGTAGCTCTGAGAGACTTCCAGGGCAGGTTCTCTTTGTCCTGACTGGGGTCATGTGACCACTTCTGAGCCAGTTGGAAATCAAAGGAATGTGGTACTCTGATTGGCCAGGCTGGGCGACAGGCTCAGCCTGGAGGAGAGGTGGAGCTGGTTGCTCTTGAACCCCATCACCTCCGTGTGAGGGCAGAGTTCCAGGGAGATGATGCTCACAAGGAAGAGCTGGAGACCGGCAGCAGGAGTAGCAGGTGGGCTCTCCTGATGGAGCATGAGGGACAGGTCCTTGCGCTTTAAAGTCAGCGTCGTTACGAAATAGTCTACATGCCACCGAAGTCACCAAGTTGAGGGAACAACTGAGTGAGTTTGGACCGCACTGTTCAGTCGCGCGGCCTGTGCTGACCCTGTAGATGGCCGAGGGCTGACCGGAGCCGGGATACCACCTGCCGCTCCACAAGCAAAAGAGTGAAGCCACCCCGCTTGTTTTCCTCGCCAGGAAAATGGGCGTGAACCTCCTGACATCACGGGATTGCGGGGAGAATCTGGTGACGTGCCATGGGAAACATGACGTGACCGCGCGTGGTGCCCCGTGTAGAGTGTCGGGGCGCTGGGTCGGTGCACCGCCTCTGGCGGGTTCTCGGGCTGGCCAGCCGGCTTGCCTTCTGGCTGTGCTCCTTTCTTACCCTTCCTTCAAAGACCCGGAAGCTCTGTCCCCCTTCCTCTCCGCCCCTTCCTTGGACCTTCTCATTCCCAGGACATGGCCACGGGGGCTTCTGGAAGGCTCTAAATGGACCGGGCTGACTGGCAAGAGCATAAACCATTCTTCTTTTTTTATTTTTCCTTTTATTTCATACAATCTATGCTTTATCATCTCGTGTGTGGTCCCTAAGAAATTCCCACCCATTCTTTCTCTGATTTGATTCAAGGAAAGAGAGGGACAGCTTGCTTTCAAGAGGGCCCCTCCATCAGGGCCGCGGGAATGTTTGCATCCGTGAAAGGGAATTAAATTTGATGCTGGGAATTCACATTCCTTCCCTTCTGCCTCCCCCAAGGAAGAGCCTGCTGAAATAAAGGTTAAAAGTCTTTCACTTATCAATTTTAATTGATTAGATTTCTAGTTGAGATCACTTAACTGAGCCTTTTTTGGGTGGTTGGCCATTAAGAAAGTAATGGCTGTCTGTCTTTATCCAGCCTGATTGCAAACTACATCTTTGCTAAAGACGGGAATGTCCAGAAAATACTGGGAATTATGGATTCCCAGTACCAGAATAAGAGATGCGCGTTTTGTCCTTTGACTTCTTTCTGTGTGTGATTGTTTTTTTTAAGGGCTGGAGCTTCTTCATCTCCCACTGGGAAAAAATAAGGCTTTGCATTTCACAAAATGCCTTTTGTGTACACAGAAGAGAGGCAGCCTCGTCACATAGGTGGGAAGTGACTGGAAGCTGGGCCCATGGGCTGAGGCCAGCAGTGTTTGGTCTCCCGGGTTGCCTAAGTCTTATCTAAGGTGACAAGGCTGACAGGTGGCTTCCAGTGTGTTTGCTAAACTTGTCACTCTTTGATAAGAAACCACAAAGTAGGAGTCTTAAGAAGCCACCTCACACCTGTGCTGACCAGCAGCCGCCTTGGTGGGGGATGGGGGAGGGTCAGGTGTGGCTTCTGATGGGGAGGGAACAACAGAGACTGAGAAAAGCAAATGGCCCTTAAGCAAAGTCCTGGAAGGGGTGCAGTAAAGGGGAGAGATAAGGATGTTGGTTGGGAAGTGGGAGAGACGGATTTGGGGGGAAGGGAAGGCAAAACTAGACCAAACAGATTTGCTTTTTAGAGAGGAGAGCATTAATTTGCACGTACCCAGCTTCAGCTTCACAGTTACCACCCTCTTGATAATCTTGTTTCATCTACTGTTTCTTGTTAAAGTTACCCCCCTGGCTTTAAAACAGACAGAAGACAGTAGTCTATCTATGCATACCTCGTTCTGACAGATAACAGTTTAGCTTACTCTTCATAATAGAACTGGTTGCCACCATTGCAAATCCTGGGCTCCCCCAGCCTGGCTGCTGGGTGCGGGGCAATGATTGGGGAGAGGCTGGCTGCCCGCCTGGATTGATCTAGCAGCCGTCTGAATGGAGTCTTGCTTATTTCCAAATGACAGGGCAGCATGGGACAGGCTCCCCAAGGAGACCCCCAGACGCTGCCAGCGGCCTCCCTAGCCTTTCCCCGGACACCGATGTTCACTCACGTAGCTAGAACCCGGCCGCTCTGCCACCCACGTCCCGTCACACAGCCTGAGTTGTCCTGCCCGTTAGGAAACCCATGCGGCAAAATCAGTCTACTTACTCAACTACTTATTGAGGACCTGCTGTCTACCAGGCCCAGTGCTGGGGGCTGGGATGGAAGCAAAGGCCTGTCTGTTCTTATGGCTTTTCCAGGTGGGCCGGGGGGAGGGGTGCGGAGCGAAGGAAGCGCGGACAGGTCAGGTGGGGTGTGCACAGAGTTGGTTCGAATGGCTGTGGGGTGGGGGACGGTGATCAACAGCTGCTGCACCGGAGAACCAGTAGGAGAGAGACCTCAGGCCGGCTAGGGAAGCCCTTTCTGGAGAGGTGTCGTGGGCGTTTGTGTGAGAAAATGTAGGATGACACTGGCTAATTGGAGGGGTCAGCAGATGCGAGGCTGGAAGGTGAAAGAACTTGGTGGGCTCCAGGATCCTAAAGGAGTTTGGGGTGGCTGGGCCAGGGCGGGGGGCCTAGAAGGCCAAGTCACAGCGCACTTCTGGCCCTGGAGCCAGCCGAGCCCGAGTAAGGTCTCAGCCCCCGTCACTAGACCGTACATGACCTTCGATGGTGGCGGGAGCTTTGGTGACCTCATGTGCAACATGGGCGCTGTGGGAAGTGAGTGAGCTGACCAGTGTGAGGCGCTGGCACAGCCGCAGCAAGGCCACTCGGCACTATGGCAGGGTCCGGGAGCCCGTGGTGACGGGGGAGGAAGGCGGGACATAGTCTGAGGATGGCCTCTGGTGACCGACTGCAGGAAAGATCCAGGTGGACTCCAGGTTCTGAACGTGAGGACATTCCGGGGGTCAGGAAGTGGGGAGCAAGGGGAATTCCAGAGAGCCAGCCTGGAGGAGGTGCTGGAAGATGACAGAGCCCGTCGGAGGCCAGAGAAGAGGTGCTGGGAGGCAGCTCAGCCAAGATGCCCAGTGGCTGGGCGGAAACCACTTAGGTTTGACTAAGAAGCAGTTTTCCGCATTATTTCATAAATCTGAGAATGACCGGAGCGCACATAACATTCCACTGACGAGACGTCTCACATCAGCATTCTGCAGCACTTTTGTTCTCTTACACCCTACACCGCTGCTCCTAGAAGCCTGGCAGCTGCTAGAATCCTCACTCGGGTGGTCTGTGAGAGCAGAGGCCCCCACCCCAGACGTGACGCAACGAGCAGGTCTGGTGCCCAGTGCGGACACGCTGCCAGGGGCCGGGGCCTGGAAAAGCCGACTTGTCGTCTCATGATCCTCAGCCTTGGACCTCACAGCCAGTGAGATGCCAAAAGGAAGATCAGTCCGAGCAGGCCTCTGCAGATACAGCTGGCGGCTTCTGGTTTCGCCATGTTAGAGAAGGAAAAAAACAGTTAGGACCTAAAGAAGGAAGGGCCTCATGTCAGAATCCAGATCCGTCATTGCAAGAAGCAGCAGCAGGTGCATAACGCTGGGTGTCTAAGCCAGAAGTGGAGTGAAAACCTGTGGTGAGGGAGAGTGACGAGGAGGAGCGTGGCCCGGGGACGCACGGTGACAGCTGGCAGGGCCTCAGTCGGACTGCCAGGGGCTGAGAGCAGGCGACGGGTTCGACCTGCCCTGGTCTCTGGATCAAGGGGCTTCTGAGGGAGCGTCCACCCATCTGAGGGCTGGACGTGTATGTGGGTGCCAGGATGGGGGACGCAGGAGCCTGGGGCCCACGGGCAGTGTGGACACAGGGCAGGGAGAGAGGTGAAGCAGCGGGCCTGTGAGTATATCGGGGGGCGGGTTTAACCTAAGGACAGTGAGAAGAGTTTTTAATGGGCAAAATGGTCCCTTTCTGGCCTCCGTCTGAAGAGTAGATGCGCGGAGACGCGGCGGCAGCATT